CTGGAGTGGCAGGGCGACGGTACGGAGGAGACTGGAGGATGGACTGGTTTCCACCTGGAGCACCAGTGGGTGTCTGAGCGACCAAACAAGAGAGGGAGCAGCAATATTTCACAGCTGCAGATGGAGGAGAGGTTTGGTTCTCAAGACTGGTACCGTACCATCATCCAGGATCCAAGCAGCAGGAGTCACACAGTTCGAGGACTGACTCCGACCGTTACCTACCAGTTCCGCATAACACCCATCAACCACCGCACCATCGGACACCCGTCTGTAGCCAGGACTCCAGGTAGCAAAGAGAAAATTTAGAAAGCCTGGTGGTCTTTGAGGGCCAAACATATTTTCTCTCAGAGAAAGTATCTGAAAAAAAAATGATCAAGTAAATGTCTGTACATTTACTTGAATAACTTTTTTGAAAAAATTTACTTTTTATTTTTACTTGAGTAATTTTGAAGTATCCCTACTCTTGATTACAATTCAGAATTTTCTGTGAGTAACCTCACTGAATGAAGAATAAAGAAACTGATTTAGAAATATTTTTATTTTGCCTGATTGTCATTTTTTGTTACTTATATGAATTGTTGACATTTTGGTCCTGAAAATACCAACATTTCTACTTAGCTTTATATTTTGGTCCATCTGATTATGTCATTATATATATTAAATGATTGATAATTTGATCAGTTACTCAGTACTAGAGTAGACTTTTTTACCAAATATTTTTTACTCTTAGTTGAATAATTTCTTTGATGGCTACGTTTTACTTGAGTAAAAATTAATGCTGCTCTTACTAGAGTGAATTTTTGGTACTCTGCCCACCTCTGGAAATGATGACATGTAATTAACATCTTTCACTTGCTTCCCCTTCACATTATTTTATTGCTTTTTTCAACACATCATTTAAGTTTCGGTTTTTTAAATAATTGCAGAATTAGTTGTTTAATGCGATGGAATAATAAGGATGAAACCATTTTATGATTGGTGTAAGAGGCAGGTCTCAGTACCAGATAATTCACATAAATTCTAATTTAATCAGGAAAAAATAAAAAAAAGAGTTATTGGCCATAATGGGGTATAATATACTTTCAGAGTGATTAGGTGATTCTACTGAAAAGACAATGGGTGAGACAGTTGTGGAGTTTTTTTTCTATTTAATCTTTAATCTTTGTGCATCTGTGATGTTTTTGCAGTGGAACTGCATGACAACATGTACCCTGCTGTGGTTGGAGCAGCTGTTGGTGGGATGCTCTTTGCAGCCATTCCTACTGTGCTGCTGCTTGTTTTCATCATACGTAACCGGGATAGCAATCCTCGTAAGTCTCACTCATTAAAGGCTCTTTGAAAAAGCTATACACTGCATATATTTTGTCCTCAAAAACTCTGTTTGCATTTTAGTTTAATACAAATCGGATACATTTGTAGTGCTGGCTAAAGCTCATGGCTAGCGAACTTGGGACCAAGACCAAAGCAGGCTTTTACAGTCTTTAAAAACTCAAGTCCTAAAAAATTTAAAGCAATATATGCAAGCATTGCTTTAGAAATTTTTTAACTATTGTCGCATTATAACTGGGTGTTTATTAGCAAATAAACTAATGATTAGCTATACAGGAAGTGGACGCTGCCAACAGTGATTTGGATGTAAAATGCAAAAATAGTGTGTTAAGTAAAGACATTTGGTTTTATTTTTACACTGATTTACCATTCTATCAGACATCTGTTCTGACCTAATATATTTAACATGTGCGGCTAACAGCATGTGTTGCACACAGGAAGCTCATTGCTAATATATCTCCAACCTCCAAATTCTATGTAAACAATTGATGGTTTCTCTGTTTATGCAAACCCAATGCAAACAAGATGCTCATTAAAAAAACACACAAATATAATTTGTACAAACCCCCATAACATTTTTGAGACTGGAGTTGATTTAAGGCAGTGAAAGCCTTAAAACAAAATTCTGAAATGCTGCTTTAATATAGACACCAAGGTGTGTTGTGCTATATGAACAGTTTTTCCTTTCTTTCCTCAGGACTACATGCAATGCTTTTTGGCTCGTGAGTATTTAAGCATTTATCTCTACACAAATAAGGCAGCTTTAGTTAATTACCTGATTCTCTCTAAAGACATTTGGTTTATTGGGGCCTGCCAGCAATGCATAGGGAGAGCAGTGACTGACCTGCAAAGCAGGTCAGACACTGCCTC